ATAGGTAAATTGTATAGCATGTGAATTATATACTAGCCCTAACCCTGAATAAAGCTATTTAAAGGGGCATTTAGAAACAAATGCAATGCCAGAACATCAATCTTTTCTTTTTTTAAAATCTATCAGCTGAGAGCCTAACACTTTGTAAAATATACATCAATGAACTATATATGGTCTGTATTAAAATCAGATATTGTCACTTCTCTCTCTCTCTCTTTTTTTTTGGTTAATCCTCACCCAAGGATATTTTTTCCATTGATTTTCAGATAGTGGAAGGGAGGGGGCAGGGGCAGAAAGGAGAAGGAGAAGGGGGGAGGTGAAGAGAGAGAGAGAGAGAGAAAAGAAAGAGAAAGAAATGTGAGAGAGACACATTGATTGGCTGCCTCCTGCACATGCCTGACCATGTCCTGGGATCAAACCTGCAACCCAGATTTGTGCCCTTGACAGGAATCAAACCCGAGACCCTTCCGTGCTCCAGCTGACACTCTAACCACTGCACCACACCATCCAGGGCTGTCACTTCTCTACCATGACTCACTTCCTTTTATTTTTGCTGTATATGTTGCTCTTTGATTTGGGGGAATAACAACTTAAAAATTTTCTATCTTTCTCTCCTTCTCCCTTCCTCTCTGAAAACAATAAAATCAATAAAACTATATTTAAAAACGGCAGGGGGCTTGTTAAACAGCCCCTTTCCCAGAGGGAAGTTACCTCTCACCCACTCCCTTGGTTGGCATCCTAAAGCTCCCCTCTGAAGGGCCCAGGTCAGTCACTGCTTTTGTTACCAAGACAGCAGCTAAGAAGCTCACCTCATAGTCTTTCCTTGGCAGGATCTCATCCTCCTCCTCCTGTGTTTCTCCAAGGATGGTCTAGAAAAACAGATCCACAGGAGGGAGACCCTCTTAGTGGTTAAAAGGAACAGGAGGCAGAAGTGTTTACCGACATCTGTTGCTAGTTTCTAAATTGTCTAGAACCATTGTCATCAGTGGGAACAAGATCACACAAAAAAAAACACACACAAAAAACAACCCACAAAATCCTTTTGTGATAGGGGGTGATGTGGGTGGGGATCCAGCTGAGCCTTTCATCTCTATTGATACATTCTCCAAATAACCACTCTTGTCTTCCGGACACGTCAAAGATGCCCACTGCCAGCTTCAGCGGGGAAAAAATCCAGGTCCGTCTGACAAGGTGCCCAATCTGAAATCCGAAGGGACCTGTCAGCTTTGGGGACACAGCACCTCCAGTTTTCCCAGGATGCCTTGCAGGGGGAAGCTGGCTTGTCAATGACCCCGAAAGGCTTAGGGACGGAGTGAGAAAAGCGCTGGAGAACCGAAGCCAGCGGCATGACAAGCATGAAAGGGCTCATTCCGAAAATGCTCGTTTCTCGCAACACTCCTTCCAGGTGGAAATTTAAAAAAAGAAATCTGTGGGATTCACTGAAGCTGGCCCGGATTCTCTGAGATCCCAGGGAGGAGTTATGAGAACAAGCCTCCGGACTTGGGCACGGGAAGCAGGGCCGATTCTGCAAGAGCCCGGCATGCGGTGCCCATCCGCACACGCTGCCGCCTGCGGGCCCAGCTCGCCCGGCCCCACCTCCGGCGACGCCTCTCCCGTCCCTTAGCAACTGCCCGGCCCAGCCCGCAGCGCCCGCGCCTTACCAGCTCCTCGGGCGTGCGGGTTTCTCGCTCCCCGCAGCAGCAGCACCACCGGCAGCAGCAGCACAAGGACCCCCTGCACCCCGCCATCTTCCTCTTCTGCTGCCGCTCCGGACCCCCAGTGCCAACCCCCTCCCACCCGCTCGGCGCCTCACGTGACTGGCCCCCGCAGGGTCACGTGTCCCTCTCGAGTTCGGCGGCCGAGACGGGGAGTGGCTGCCGACGGGTGGGGCGACGGGCCGCGTCACAGGACGGAGGTGGAGCGGCTTCCCGCGGGCCCGCTGGGCGCGGCCATGTTGGGGGCGGGGCTTCCTGTCGCCCGCCGGGTGGTTTCCGCCCCCTGGCCCCGCCTCCCTTAGCAACAGACTCCAAGGCCGCGCGCCCCGCCCCCTTCGCAGCGACTCCGCGGCGGCCTCGCAGCCTAGTTGGCACGCGTGCTGTGCGGCGCCCGCTACGGGAGGGTGAGTGACGGCGTGGCGCGGGGTACACAGACCTGGCATCGGGGGCCACCAGCTGGGGCCGTGACTTATACCTTTGTGCGGGGGGCAGTGGAGGCCGGTCTGCCCTCTAGGCGGGGGCTCCCGCCACCTCTGTGAGCTTCTTTCGCGGGACGAGTGTAACCCCCAAAGGCTGTCACCCCCAGTCCTGAAGCAAACCCTCTCTTTTAGTCCCGGCCTGGACAGGCACCAGAGGAGGCGGCGGCTCTGGAGCCACCTGGGCGCGGGAGGTGTTTTTACGGCTCCAGCCTTTTAAACCTGCCTCCCCTCCCTGGGCCACTGGCACACATGCGTCCTCCGCACCCCACCCCCCACCCCGGGCCCATCGTGTCCGGCTGCGCTCAGCTGTGGCCTCCATATGCCCCCACCGCTCGCCGATTAAGTATCTAGTAAATGGCAGAAGGCTATTTTGAGATCAGAGCGACAGAGCCCGGCCTGTTGGCGCTCAGGGCTGGCTGTCGCATTACCTTGTGCCAGTCACAGGAATATCAGGATACCCGTCAAAGGCAGGGTCCCACCCTGGTCTTGGAACGGGGGGCGGGGCGGAACAGGGGAGCGGCAGGAGGGGAGACAAACCTGTGAACCCACAATTACAATCCAGGGTGCTGCGGGAGCACAGCTTGAAATGGGTAAGTAGAGGCACGAGAAAGAAGGTGGAAAGGGCTGTGCCTGGCACGTACTAGGAACGCAGTAAGTTTTTATGGAACCAATGAAAGAGCAGGTAATTTGTAGGTGGTTCCGTCTCCTCCCCCTCTCTTGATTTTGTTCCAGCAGAAAGGCCAGCCAGGCAGATCTTGACACACTTACCTGTTTCTCACTCCTGATGGCCACCCTCACTGAGAAGCAGGAGTTTTATGTCAGAACCAAAACAGGGCATCCCTGAGGAGAGCAAACGTTGGTGCAAGTGTTCTTAGTCTGGACTTGACTTCTTGACTTCTGGTGTGTCGCTATGGGTGATGGCGCCTCTGTGTTTTAGGGGAGAGGAGCTCTGGATTTCATTAGTTTCTCATGACTCTAGGATCCCAGAGTGGTTAAGAACACCAGCTTAGCCCAGCTGGTGTGGCTCAGTGGTTGAGCAATGACCTATGAACCAGGAGGTCACAGTTCAATTCTCATCAGGGCACATACCCTGGTCACAGGCTCAATCCCCAGTGTGGGGCGTGCAGGAAGCAGCCGATCAATTATTCTCATCATTGATGCCTCTCTGTCCTCTCTTCCTCTCTGAAATCCATTTAAAAATATCCTAATATATATAAAGAGTTAGGTACCGTCACGACCGAACGGGCGACCGGTCACCATGAAGTGCATGGAGCACCTCTTGGTACCCCCTCCCCCGCCCCCGAGCCGCTCACCATGAGGGGGGGCTGGCGGTGGGGCGGGACTGGGGCCTGTTGCTACTTCGTGGGGTGGCTGTGAGCTTAGGGGAGCAGTCACCCAGGCGGCAGTGAGTTTCGCAAAGCAGTCACGGGGCGAGGGAGTTTCATGGAGCGTCCAGCGGCGAGCTTCGCGGGGCAGCAGCAAGCTTTGCAGAGCAGTTGCGGGGTTCGCGAAGCCATCAAGAGGCAGGGGGAGCCTCACGGAGCAGTCGAGGGGCCGCGAGCATCTCGGAGTGTCCTGGGGCAGGGAGCTTCACGTAGCGTCACAGGGCAGCAGAGGCCATGTGACGGAGGCCAGGCTAGGCCTAGGGACCCTAACTGCGCACGATTTCGTGCACGCTGAGCCTCTAGTCCAGGGGTTCTCAAACTACGGCCGGGGGGCCACATGCAGCCCGCCAAAAACATTTATCCGGCCCTCCGGGTGTTTTTGCTGCTGCTGCCTGTTGCTTAGCAGCCGACTAGTTGTTTTTTTTAAACTATAGTCGGGCCCTCCAATGGTCTGAGGGACAGTGAACTGGCCCCCTGTGTAAAAAGTTTGAGGACCCCTGCTCTAGTCTATAATAATAAAAGCGTAATATGCTAATTAGGCCAGACAGCCGAACGACCTTCTGGAGGACTTTCCAGATGAAGCCAAAGCAGTGAGGGCCAAGGCAGACACCGCGGCTGTGAGGGCCAAGCCCTGTGCACGAATTTCGTGCAGTGGGGGAAGGGGGAGTCCCTCAGCCCAGCCTGTACCCTCTCGCAGTCTGGGAACCCCTTGGGAGATGTCCCCCATGGGGACTGGCTTCTGGCTAAGTGGCACTCCCCCTGTGGGAGTGCACTGACCACCAGGGGGCAGCTCCTGCATTGAGCGTCTGCCCCCTGGTGGTCAGTGTGCGTCATAGTGACTGGTTGTTCTGCCATTTGGTTGATTTGCATATTAGGGTTTTATTATATAGGACTAGAGGCCCAGTGCACAAAATTTGTGCATGGGGGGGGGCGGGTCCCCTCAGCCCAGCCTGCACTCTTTCCAATCCAGGACCCCTTGGGGAATGTCTGACTGCCAGTTTAGGCCCAATGATTGGGCCTAAACTGGCAGTTGGACATCCCTCTCACAATACTGGACCACTGGCTCCTAATTGCTCACCTGCCTGCCTGCCTGGTCGCCCCTAACTGTCCCCCTCTGCTGGCCTGATTGCCCCTCACTGCCTCTGCATGCCGACCTGATCACCCCTAACTGCCACAGCTGCCGGCCTGGTCACGCCTAACTGCCCCCCTCTGCTGGCCTGGTTGCCCCTAATTGCCCCCCCTGCTGGCCTGGTCACCCCCAACTGCCACCCCCTACTGGCCTAGTTGCCCCACACAGCCTGCTTGTTCAGTCATTTGGTCATCCCTCACTAACCCCCCTGCCAGCCTGGTTGTAAGCAGCCATCTTGTGAGGGCATGAGGGTTAATTTGCATATTACCTCTTTATTATATAGGATTAGAAAAAAAAGAACACCAGCTTAGCTGTGGTTGTGCCCTGAAAGGAATGAACTTGGCCTGATTGTTCCTCTGATTTTAAGGACTAGATTTTAAGGACTATTTGTACATAGTTATGCAAGAGTAGTGTTTTGTTTTTAAGTATTTGACTTATTTTTCCCACTAAACTGCCCACTGGCACCATGCCCTTTGTTGGCCTGCCTGTGGTTGCCATGGCTCAGAGCTTGGGATGTGTGGCTGAGCAGTCACTATAATTAGTTTAACTGACCTCAGTGGCGTGTGTTAGTGGGGGTGTACCTGGAAGGCAGCCTTTGCTCTTTTAAAAAAACTTTTTAAAATTTGTTGGGGTAACCATTGGCAGGTAAAGTTATACAGGTTTCAGGTGTACAGTTCTATAATACATCATCTGTGCTTTGTATTGTGTCTTCATCACCCCAAGTCAAAGTCTCCTTCCGTCAGGTAGCCTTTATTCTGAGTTGGACATAACCTCAGCCCTCACTGAACTTGGTTCTGGCTACTTTTGGAACCCAGCCAATTATCAAGTTCTAACGCATGACCTAGTCTTTTTGGAGTAGCAGGAATTCAGGAGAAATCTGGCTGCTTTGTCAAGCCCTCACCTCCTCCATCCTGCACACAAACTGTTCCAAGCAACAGGAGATGTCCCAGGCAGGACAGGATCAGCTATTTCTTCTTTGGAGAGTGATCCAGTGACCCTGAACGTCTGTTGGCCTCATCTCCACCAACCCCCACAGTCTCTGGCCCTCCTTCTATCTGCCTCCTACAGCTGGAGCCTCAGCCCTCCCTCTGCCCGGACGCCTTGCCCCCGCCTCCCTCTCCCTTACGCAGGTCCCAGCTGTAGCTCTAAGCTCTTCCTCTGTCACTGCTCCGCCCATGAGAGAAACACCCGCAGGGGAAGCTTCCTGTTCCCGGCCCAGTCTGGGTCCAAGCTGGCAGAGATGGACCATCTAGAACCCGAGGTCCTCCCAGCCAGGCACTGCTGCCCCTCCCTAGGAATGCAGGCCCTGGAGGCTGGCATCATGAGGTTCTCAGTGCCACCCTCCATCAGGTAGCTGCCACTTCGGGTCCGAGGGCTGAAGGGGCATGTTTCTGTACTCTGTATGGGAGGGGGCTGTCATACACGGAGTCGGGCAGCAGCAGGGGGAGCAGCTTTGAGCAAGGCCGCGCCGTGGGTGGTAGCTGTGGCGTGTGAGCCAGCTGGCGGGGGCCTTATCACCCTGACCCTGGGTGGAAATGCAGCAACTGTCACTTGACCCTGCCTCTCTGGGGCTTGGCTGCCTGCCGGCTTCTGACGCCCCCTGCCCCCATCTCGTGTAGCAGGAGCTCCGCCATGGTGAACGAACCCAGAGGGAATGGCAGCCCCAACCCCCGCCTGGAGGGCAGCAGCAGCGGCATGGAGAGCCCCAAGGATAGTTCGAGATGTACCTCGCCAGGGCTGGACCCTGAGCGGCACGAGAGACTCAGGGAGAAGATGAGGCGGAGGATGGAGTCCGGTGACAAGTGGTTCTCTCTGGAATTCTTCCCTCCGCGGACGGCGCAGGGCGCTGTCAATCTCATCTCAAGGTGAGTGGATTGTGAGGTTACGGAGCAGGGCCAAGTTAGGAGGGGCAGTGGAGAGAAGGGCCCCTTTGACCCGGCAGAAAGAGGCCACCAGAGGGGGCGGAAGAGTAAAGGCGGGGTCGGCCATTGGACTTCGCAGTTGTCAGAAAAAGTGCCCCCAAGCCTCTGGAGTGTCAGACACACTCCACATCGGGTTAAACATGTTGACTCTCAGCATTCTTTGGCAGCACGTCAGGCTGGATCATGAGTGTAGTTTAGGAAATCACAGAGCAGCGTCTCGGAGAACATTTCCACAAGTTAGGCTTTTGTGTTGTGCCTCTTGGAATCTAGAAATGCCAACTGAATTACGTTAGCACTTTATGAATCACAGCTCCTTTTCTTAAAAGCCGATGCTTTTTACCACTTTCACTTCTCATGTTTAGTTCCCAAGGCTTGAAGTTGGAGGCACCAGGATGTTTAAATACCTCGTTAAATAGCTTGTAACAGCGAGTGCACACCCCCGTGCCTCTTGAGTCTGGTTCCTGGACTGTGGCCTTGCTCTGCAGCACTGCTTGCTGCACCAGGATCGGGGGGGAGGGGTAGCATGATAGAAACGTGTGTCTGCTGACCCTCTTCTCTCGTGTTCCTGGAATGAGGCCCTGCTTGCCACCTTGAGCGTTCTCCAACCCTCGCCCAGTGAACTTAACTCACCCAATATAACAAATATGCCAGCACTGGAAAGTCTACAGTACTGCTTTCAAACAGCCTGGTTATGTTGTTATCTATTACCTCCACAATAGTAATCCTGATGAAAGCAGCTCACCATGTACCAGGCACTGTTCTAAGAGCTGAGGAGCCATCTCTCATAATAGTCTCATAGAGCTATGAAGTAGGTACTGTTCTCTGTCACATTGTAGAAATGAGGAAAAGGAGATTAATTTTCCCAAGGTCACACAGCTAATAAGTAGCAAAGTCAGGACGTGAATGCGGGTGAGTCTGAGTCCAGCCTCCTGTGATGCTTCTCTGGCGAAGGATGGTGTGCCCGCAGGAATCTCCCTTCAGAAAGAAATTCCCAACAGGTTTGACCAGATGGGGGCAGGTGGCCCCCTCTTCATAGATGTGACCTGGCACCCAGCAGGAGACCCTGGCTCGGACAAGGAGACCTCCTCCATGGCCATCGCCAGCGCTGCTGTCAACTACTGTGGCCTGGAGACCGTGCTGCACTTGACCTGCTGCCGTCAGAGCCAGGAGGAGATCACGGGCCATCTGCACAAGGCCAAGCAGCTGGGCCTGAAGAACATCCTGGCACTGAGAGGAGGTGTGGAGCCCTGCCCAGTTGGAGCCACCTCTTGAGCTCTTGACCTTGACGTAGGCGTTCAGTCAGGAGTGCAACTGGTGCCTGATAACCCTCTGCCCTGGCTTCATAGCTTCATTGATCACTGGTTGCACCCAGCTCTTGGCCCAATCAAGACTGCGGTTCTGGCACTTGTCCCGGGATTAAAAGTAGCTGCTTGTGCCTCTGGCCAGTGTGGAAAGAGGGAGCCTGATGGGTGGGGTCGTGCAGCCTTGTGCTCCCTGCTACAAGACCACTTCTCACTTGAGATGAGTAGAAGATTCTCCCAGGAGGGAAGAGCTCCAAGAGGATAGGATAGCGAGCAGTGGGGTTGGTTGAGTGAGGCTAGGCACCCAGGTTTGAGTGGGGGGCGGGGGGTCTCAGATGCTACAAGCTAAGCTGAGAGCAGCAGCTGTCCCCTGCTCTACGCTGCCAGCCCAGTGCCCACAGAGTCAGTGCTTGGTAAATGTCCGACAGGCTGGGCACTGTCTTCCCTCCCACTGCTTACCAAGTGCTACGCTAGCAAGAGGAGACACCAACTGGAATAGCACCAGGGCTCTGCCTTTGAGGATCTCATGGTCCCGGGTGTAGGGGTAAGGAGAAGGCACAGAAAAACTAGCTGCAGATCAGTGAGCCTCAGTGACCATGACCTTCACCAACCCTGCAGACCCTGTAGGTGACCAGTGGGAGGAGGAGGAAGGCTGTTTCCGCTATGCCACAGACCTGGTGAAGCTCATCCGCAGCGAGTTTGGTGACTACTTTGACATCTGTGTGGCAGGTGAGTGGCGGGAGCGTCCCAGTGGGTGGGGACAGGCACAGAGAGCTCACCTGTAGTCAGTTCAGGGTGTGGTGACCCCATGCATTGCGGGCCTGTGCCAGAGGAGAGCAGGGCAGAGGTGGGTTAATGCCCTGACTCAACATTCTATCATCCGCTCCCCGCCCAGGCTACCACCACCCCGAAGGTTTTGTTTCTCTGCCTTTTCATGTCCTTAGCCTGCTTCCTGGCCTGTTCTTCTTTAACACAAAAGAGGAGTGTTTATTAGGCGGCAGGGAATCGCAGAACCCAAGGTCAGGAAGCCGCACCAGGCCTCACTGGGTGCTGGAGCCGGGAGGCAGTCGGAAACCAAGGCCCCCCTGACCGGTGTGGCTCAGCTGGTTGAGTGTCGTCCTGTACAACAAAAGGTCACAGGTTCCATACCTGGTCAGGGCACATGCTGGGGTTGGGGTTCGATCCGGGTCGGGGTGCATATGGGAGGCATACAGGTTGATGTTTCTTTCTCATACCGGTGTTTCCCTCTCTCCCTTTCCCTTCCTCTAAAAAGCAATAAAAACATATTTAAAAACATTATTTTTAAAGAAACCAAGGCCCTCAATCTCTTTGGGGCCACAGAACCCCCAGCTCTGCCTCCTGCTGCACACCTGCTCCTGAGGGCGCCGGGTCAGTTCCACTGTCAATCAGCCCAGACTGACTGACAGGCCTCAATGTCAACTCCACAGTCTCAGGAGAATCAGATCAGCTGAACTCTAGTTCTATTGGCTGCAGCCAGGAGGCAAGGTTTACCTGCTGGAAACAGGTGGGGGGTCTTCCCTCCTATCCCACTAACAGAGTCGGGCCTCCAGCTTCTCAAATAGGGGCTTGGGTGTGGTGAGGTCTGGGGATTCATTGGTACATCATCTTGGCATGACATTTTCCCTCAAATCTTTTGGGGAAATTCATTTTTTATATTAAACAAAGCCACTTTATGGAGTAGTATATCAAAAGTGATCCAGACTTTAAAACATAAGCCATGTGGCTGCAAGGAAATTACTCGTTGTAGGTGACTTTGGGTTTAACCCCAGGCCCCACGTACAGAGCAGCTTGGCTTCCCACCAGCCTGGGTCTGAGGCCTGCCCCTGGCCCTGGCTGAGTGAGCCAGTCTTCCTGTGCAGGCCGGGCTCCGTGAGCTCGGTCCTTTAGGCGAGTGGTCAGAGAGTTCCTGGAGCCAGCGAGGAGCCAGGGTCACCGCTCCCGCCTCCCGGGCAGTTCCGATTCTGTCGTGTGTCCCTGGCATGTGGGTATCCCAGCTGCGCCCGTGTCCTCGTACCCCAGGAGCTCACTGCTTAGTGGGGCTGCTTGGTCCCTTGTCAGGCAGCCTCTGGCTGATCCTGGTTCTGCCATGAGAAGCATCAGAGAATATGAACTTGACCATGACGGCCCTTTGGCCACTTAGAAATAGTTACTATATTCTCTTCATTCTTTTCTTCAAGCAGAACATCTGAGCTTTCTCCCCTTTTTCCGCATGTAACATGCTGGCTTTTCCCTTTCTTGGACCTCTGAGTAATTTCAATGTTTTATTTTGTGTGTGTGTGGTGTTTTGTTTTTTTTTTAAAGTAATTTTAATGTTAAAAGTGCTGCTTTAATCCAATGTGTAGAGTCCAGTGCAGTACAAGTGCTGCCCAACTGCTGAGCGAGGCATTTTCTCTCCTCCAGGACCACCAAGCACAGGCTGGTTTACCTGGCTGGTTGCAAGGGACATGAGGCAGGACAGTGTGGGGTTTGGAGCAATCTGCTCCCACTTCTGGGAGGGTGGCTCTAAGCCACCGCTCACCGGACGTCACCTCCTGGGTGAGGAGGACATCAGCCATGAGCCCAGCTACTCACCGTGTCAACCCGGCCCTGCGGTGGTGGTGGGAGGTCCGAGTCCGGACCCTGGAGGCAGAGAGCTGTGTTACCAGCTCCCGGGGTTCCTCCTCCCTCACCTGGAGCAGGTGGAGCCCGCCTCTCCCGACTGCCACCCTGTCGACAGGTTACCCCAAGGGCCACCCCGACGCCGAGAGCTTTGAGGACGACCTGAAGCACTTGAAGGGGAAGGTGTCTGCAGGAGCCGACTTCATCATCACCCAGCTTTTCTTTGAGGCTGACACGTTCTTCCACTTTGTTAAGGCTTGTTCCGCGATAGGCATCACCTGCCCCATCCTTCCCGGCATCTTCCCCATTCAGGTGAGGGCCCGGGCGGGCTGGCGGACTCCTCCCACCCCCGGCGCTCAGTTCGTGGTCAGGTTCTTGGACGCTCAGTGGATTTCCTGCCAGATGCCTCTGGCAGATGTCCTCTCACCACCCCATTTGGGTTACCTCCAGTCTCCCCCACCCCAAACCAGCAACAGCACCTGACGGAGGGGCTTGTTGTACTTGGCTTACTGACAAGTGTCGCTACAAGGGATCATGATAGCTCTCACCCTCAATTTTTATTAAATCAATGTTTCTGAAACACGGCTGTCATCAGAATCATTCGATAAGCTTTTTCAAAAGATGGACTTCAGATCCCATGCCTACAAGTTCTGATTTAGTAGGTCTGAGGTGGGGCCTGGGAATGTGTACCTTACTTCTTAAGTCTTACGGGTGATTCTGATGACCCAGGAGGCTTGGGAACCACTGGGATTAAAGGGCTGGCTCAGACCGATGGCAGGGATGCTCTGGGCAGCTGGGTCCCCTGCAGACTGGGAAAAGCAGGACCAGGCAAGGGTCCTTGTACAGTGTGGCCAGACTTTCCTGGGTCTGTGTCACACTGCAGTCGGCCGGAGGCCTGGAGGGAGCAGAAGGGGGAGAAGCAGAGTGAGAGACGGGGTGAGAGACACACCCCCGTGTCTCGGCAGGGCTACCACTCCCTGCGGCAGCTCGTGAAGCTGTCCAAGCTGGAGGTGCCGCAGAAGATCAGGGACGTGATCGAGCCCATCAAGGACAACGACGCTGCCATCTGCAACTACGGCATCGACCAGGCCGTGAGCCTGTGCCAGGAGCTGCTGGCCAGTGGCCTGGTGCCGGGCCTGCACTTCTACACCCTCAACCGCCGGATGGCCACCACCGAGGTGCTGAAGCGCCTGGGCATGTGGGCCGAGGACCCCAGGTGAGGCCAGGGGCCCCCAATTCAGGCCCGGGAGCCACAGAGGGAAGTCGGTGGGCAGATAAGTCAGATGGAAGTCACAGCAAGAGTGCGCCCTAGCAGGGCTGGACGCCACGGGTGCAGGGCTTGTCTGTGCTGTGGCTGGAGGCACACGGGGTTCCAGCCTCCGTGGGAGGTCCGTGTGCACCTTGATGTTTTCAAGTGAGATTGAAAGACCCAGCTCAGTGGGTCCTCTCCCTGAGGACCTGAGCCAGTCCCTTCCTGTCCCCAATCTCACCCAGGCGTCCCCTGCCCTGGGCTGTCAGTGCCCACCCCAAGCGCCGGGAGGAAGATGTGCGTCCCATCTTCTGGGCCTCTAGACCGAAGAGTTACATCTACCGCACCCAGGACTGGGACGAGTTCCCCAACGGCCGCTGGTGAGGCCGCAGGCTGTCCTTTGCAAATGGGTCCTGTGTCTTGGGAGGCAGGAGGCAGGAGTTGGCATTTTTAATTGCCCTGGGGGGACTGGAGTCACAGAATGACCTCTGGTGTGTGGGACAGCTGTCGTCCTGTGAGGAGCCCCAGGTGAGGCTGTGCCCTGACCACGGGGCACGTCCTCTGCAGGGGCCATTCCTCCTCGCCAGCCTTCGGGGAGCTGAAGGACTACTACCTCTTCTATCTGACGAGCAAGGCCCCGAGGGAGGAGCTGCTGAAGATGTGGGGAGAGGAGCTGACCAGTGAAGAAAGTGTCTTTGAAGTCTTTGTCCACTACCTCTCGGGGGAGCCAAACCAGAGCGGCTGTACAGTGAGTGGTGCTCAGTGGGGCCCCTGGTTACACCCCCACCCCGTCTCCCTGTGGCCTGCCCACCCTCAGCCTCCTCTCTGCTCTGCACGTGGCAGCTCAGCCCAGGGAGAAGGGTGAGTTGGGAAGTCGCCAGCTGGGGGGCCTGGGAGGGGCTTACAGAGGCAGAGACAGGCTGGGTATCTCGCAGGGCCCCGGAGAGGGAGGGGCCCAGAGTACTAGATCCGATGGTCAGCCCAGCCCGGCTCCCCACTCCCAGGTCACTTGCCTGCCCTGGAATGACGAGCCCCTGGCGGCCGAGACCAGCCTGATGAAGGAGGAGCTGCTGCGTGTGAACCGGCAGGGCATCCTCACCATCAACTCCCAGCCCAACATCAATGGGAAGCCGTCCTCTGACCCGGTCGTGGGCTGGGGCCCCAGCGGGGGCTATGTCTTCCAGAAGGTGTGCAGGGGCCCAGGGCCGCCCCAGCTTGACTGGCCCCCAGGAGCCCCAGCGATGGGGACAGGAAGCTTCCTCTCTGGACCCTTCACTGAGCAGCAGTGGACCAGGGTGGACGGGAGCTCCCGCTTTAGGTCAGGCCTGGGTGGGGTCCCCTGACCGCTCTGAGCCTCTGCCTTCTCAGGTGGGACGGATCACCCCATGTTGTGGGGAGGCACGTACAGCTTAACACGTGGGAGGGACAGGAAGCACTCGCTTCTCTTCCAAGCTGCCACCTCTCCCCTGGGCGGCTGGAGTGAGAGTTACACTCACACTGAACCCCTGGGCCCTGATTAGAACGACCCCGGTGTGAGGAGACCAGCTGTGCTGTTTATCACCAGTGGGCCCAGGTCCTCACCTTCCCTGAACTTGCCTCATCTGGGAAATGGGGCTGAGGGGGCCCACCCTTGCAGTACTACGGGCATTACGGCAAGTGACGGCGTACACCCAGCTCAATCTCTGATCCAGTGGGTGCCAGAGCAGCCACTAGAGTCACTGTCACCTCCAGTGAGGGAGCAGGTGGGAGGGGCCAGGCCCGTCCCACAAGCCTGCGCTCCACAGTGGCCTCCTCATGGCTTCTCCAGGGGCCTCCCTGCCTATTGGGAGGCGGGCTGGCAGAGGTCCCGCAGACTGGCCAGCTGGGAAGTCTCACCACCTGCTCCAGACTCCATCCGTGTGGCCACCACTAGTGCCCCCGTCTTCAGTGTCCCACACACCTGTGCGCGTGGGTCCTCCCTGGGGGCATCCGACCCGGATTGCTGAGCGCCGAGAAGGCGGCCAGCAGGGACCGGGGGTGACGGGCGCCTGCTCCCCAGGCCTACTTGGAGTTCTTCACTTCCCGAGAGACGGTGGGAGCACTCCTGCAGGTGCTGAAGAAGTACGAGCAGCGGGTGAACTACCACATCGTGGACGTGAAGGTAGGCCAGCTCCACACACCGGTGCTCAGCGGGGCAGCTGCCAGCCGAGGGCACCCACGGTCACTCCCGCACTCAGCAGGCACTGGCCCCGGGCAGGCGGAGCTCCCAGCCTAGTGAGCGAGGTCCGTCAGTGGATAACGGGACAGTTCAGTTCAGTAAGGATGCTGGGGACCCAGGGGAGGGACACCTAACCTGGGAGGTCACGGAGGCTTCTTGGAGGGTCCTCTGTGGCCTGAATCCTTCAGGACAAGGAGGGAAGGGCATTCCTGGGGAAGGGCAGGGTGTTCAGAGGCAGCGTCTACGGCTAGTGGGTCACCGCCGACTGTGGAGCGCGAGGCTAAAGTGTTGAGCAGGGGCTCAGGGGCCTCCATGGTCCCTGGAGGCAGGAGGGAGCCTTTCCAAGCAGTGAGCGACTGGCTCTGCGTGTTATTTTAGGCAGGTCACAGCGGACAGCTGATGACGAATGGGCCCGGGAACACTAGAGTCAGAGGCCCTTGTCTGAGTAGCAAAGAGGCCCAGCTGGGTAGACCCCAGGGAGCAGAGTGGAGAGGAAGCAGGCAGAGCCGCTGGGTGTGGAGCTGATTGAAGCGAGAGAGGAGGAAGTGCTCCGTGTGGCCTCTAGGTCTCAGGCTCACAGAGCTGGGGGGAGGGGCACGGGGAGAGCGTGGAGCAGGGGCTGCCTGGGCAAGCAGGGGGCTCTGGTTGGCTTTGTCCCGTCTGCTCCTACCCCCCTCCCACCCCAGGGTGAAAACATCACCAATGCCCCTGAGCTGCAGCCCAACGCTGTCACTTGGGGCATCTTCCCTGGGCGAGAGATCATCCAGCCCACGGTGGTGGATCCTGTCAGCTTCATGTTCTGGAAGGTAAGGGGCTGGGAGCGGCCTGCCCTGCCCGCTGGGGACACCTGGCAGCAGGACTGCTGGGCCCTCCTGGCTGTCCCCTGACTCTGAGCCACAGCGTATTTCTGGGCTGGGGAGTGGGCGGTGGCCCCGCCGTGGGCCTTGTTCTGTTCCCGGGAAGGTCCTCCTGGGCTGTGGCAGAGACTCTTGTGGCGCTGAGCACGGAGCCCTGACCCAAGGGCAGCCCTGTTCACCGGGCCTGTGTGGCTGTGTCTGCACCTGTGCGTCTCTCTGCCTGTCTGCACTGGTATGTCTGTGTGTGACTGCGCCTGTGCCTGTTCGTGTGCACGTGCAGGATGAGGCCTTCGCCCTGTGGGTGAAGCAGTGGGGCAAGCTGTACGACGAGGAGTCCCCGTCCCGTATGATCATCCAGTACATCCACGACAACTACTTCCTCGTCAACCTGGTAGACAACGAGTTTCCGCTGGACAACTGCCTGTGGCAGGTGGTGGAAGACACTTTTGAACTTCTCAACAGACCCGGAGCGAGAGCGGACAGGCTCCGTGACCCTGCACCCTGACATCCTGAGGCTCCTGCACTCCCTCACGTACAACGGCAGCTGCGCTGGTGTGGGGCTCCGGGCTCGGCTGGACCCGAGTCAGCCCCACGCGGGACCTGGTGTTCCCTGCTCGGCCGGGAGATTTTGCTCTTTTGCGGGGAGCACCTCCATCCCGCCCAGGACCACGGTGCGTGGACCACCATCCTCCCTGAGAAGGGGAGGAGACTGGTTATGGCTGACGGGGACCTCATACCAGGCAGCCTCTCAGAGCCAGCCGGAGACTGCCGGTGACCGTGCACTTGGGGCTATGGAAGACGGGCAAAGCACACACGGGCAGCAGGCACGCGTGGCATTGCCGATAGCTGTGGCAGAGTGAAGATGCTGCTCCCTTCTGCCTTCGAGACATTGGCAGCTGGGCACTTCCTACTTGTAACTGAAGGGCAGACACTACCCTTGGCACCAGGCCCCCGGATGGGTCTGGGGCTGAAACCTAATAATACAAGCCGCCTCCTCCCTGGGGCCCGCTGGGCTTCACCTCCGCCATGCTGCTCTAGGGAGCAGTTGTCTCTGTTCTGGTGGCGCCAGGGATAAAGTCCCTCTTAAGGGCTCTGTGCCTGGTGGAGCCTCCACCTTCCCTTTTCTCGGCTGCCCATTACCACCGAGGGCAAAGGCGAGGTCACATGAGGTCACTCGAGCAGGGCTTCTGTTTTCCTGGCTTAGTTTTCGGGCAGGACCTCCTCCTGCCAGCTGCTCTGCCCTCTGCGCATCCGGAATCTGCCTGCCTGGCACTGCTGCCCAGAAATCGGCCCTCAAGCTGCGCTGCCCAGGGTGGTGACTGGCAGGTGCATGTGGGCTCTTTTCTGTCCCTGTCCCTGCCTGAGCTTAAGGGGGTGGGGGGCGTCCACTGAGCAGCCTGTGGGCACATCCCCTCCACGTCCGTCCAGGCTGCTGGGAGCCAGAGAAGCAGCTGGGACCAAGGAGGGCAGTTTATTGGCATTCAGAGCTCCCAGGGCTCTTCGGTGGGCTGAGCGCCCCGCGCCTGCCAGTCTGCACTCCCTGGAATGGGGTGGGGGCACAGTGCCTCGCTGGGAAGGCTGGGCTCCATTCTGATTTTCTTTCCATGGCAACAAGCCCCGGCTGCTGCGGGCCCCTGCTCCACCTTGAGTACGCCACACGCAGGGGGTGCTCCCTGGGCTCGATGCCCACCTTACTCTGGGGTCTCAAGCTGCTGGTGGCTCCTCCTCAGGCCTCTGGCTGCCAGCTTCTGGTGCCACTTCTCAAAGGCCTGGAACCGGGAGGGGAAGGAGAGGTTCTCCAGCTCCCTCCCGGCCTGCGCTGTTTGTGCCCAGCACCTTTGGTCCCATGGGGAATAGAGGTCCCTCCCTCTGCCCTAGGTGGGCAGGCAGCCGACCCGGCCCCCGGCCAAATGCAGAGGCTCAGAATAGAACGGACCTGTGACCTGGGAAGCTATGCTCAGAGCACATACGGGGAGTGCCAGGCAGGACCGGGCTGGGCACAGGGCCGCCAGCTATATCCAGGGCTCCCGAATCCAAGCTGTTTTCTCTACCCACACTGACCCTCCCCTGCAAATGAAGGGGCCTGGGGAGGGCTTGCAGCTCAGAGGCGCTGGCTTTTGAAGGGCCTGCTGGGGGCTGGGGCTGCCCTGCCAGTACCTGAGAAAGGACCCAGCCATCCGCTTGTTGCTGTAATCGCCGAGCCACCCACAGCTGCACGACCCGCCGCCTCCATGTGCGCCAGACCCATTTCAGCCGCCACTGCCTGAGCTGTGGGGACAGGGTGCGAAGGCCCCACACTGGGCGACTGCTGCCTCGGGCACCTGTGCTCGCCGCGGCCCCCAGCCCCTCTGTGGCACCAGGACAAGGGTGCCACACACCATGAGGTGTGTGAACAATGCAGATTCCTGGGTCTGTCCCAGGTTTCAGACTGAGTAGGTCCAAAGGCCATACTTGGAAAGACTTCATTGTAGGTGTTAGGGTTGAGAATAGCATAAGAAACTGGTGTGAGGCTGGTGAGAGGACCCCTCCCCACTCACCAGCGATCGCGCCAGCTCCTCTGCCCCCTGAGCATCCACCCAGCATTGCCATGTCCCGGCCAGGCGCCTGGCCTGCTGGGAGCCCTGGAGCCGGCGGAGCAGGGCCTCCAGGTGCCAGCGTCGCAGGTATTTCCTCCTGGGGAGAGAGGCCCTGTGTGCATCCCGACTGACGGTCAAGAGATCATGACCCCTTGACGGCCAGGAGACAGGGCTGAGCCGTGGGCTGGGCCAGCTCCTCCAGGAGCCTGCAGGAGCGAGTGCTGGCCAGAGAGGCCCAGCCCTGGCCTCAGCTCAGGCCCCTCCACGCTGGGCCCCCTCCTCGCCCACTTCTCCATGCAGTTGCTTACCCCAGCCGCCTCTTGTCCACCTGGCCTTCGGAGCTGCAGTCCCCTCCGGGCCCTGGAGGGGGCCGGCCCTGGGCCCTGGGTCCAGGCCTCTGCATCCAGAGCTGGGTGGCACTGTCGCCTGGAAAGGGGGATCGAGTCAGAAAAGGCCAACATTCAGGAGGGCCAGCTCCCCCTTAGTCCACCCCCAGAGGCTGAGCACAGAACAGGGGTGAGCGGCAAAAGGGGCTGAGTGAAGTGTGTGCCCCACGTCCACCCACGCCTCCAGGCCCAAGAGATGTAATAGGTGGGGCAGGCAGGGCGGATGTACTGTTTTCTGAAAATGGCTGAGATATTCCTGAAGAGGAAATGGGTGGTGGAAATACAGGTAAATACATACAATGGATTTGCCCAGGAGCTCGGAGCTCATTTCCGGGCCCTTAAGGGCCGGTGGCCAGTCACCCCTGCACTTCATACATCGTCCTTCCACAGGGGCAGGTCTCCTTACTCTGAGCCCAGGACGTTTCTCTCAGCTTCCTCTGCCCACCAGGGCTGCGATGTTGTGCTGGGCTGGGCGGCCTGGGCCCCGTGCCCTGTGGCCTGCAGCTGCGGGTCTATGAGAACAGCCAGAGAGGAAAACGTGAACCCAATGGGCTTGGCCCTGCTCTGACCCAGTATTGGGGCCTCCTACTTGTGTGAGCACACGTGGGACTGCACATTCTCCCGTGAACCCTGCGGCTCCCAGAGGAGACGGAGAAGGTATCCAAGCGTAGTATGGGCTTCAGCATACATCACTGCCTCTTCCCCCGTCCTCCCATGTGGCTGGAGGCGCAAGCAGCGGGTGGATCGATAATAGCTACCACAGGTGAGAACTTCCCAGCACCAGGTATAGCCTGTGAGGCGGGTATTACTCTCCCACTTAAAGTCGACTAAGTGAAGTCACTTGGCTGAGGCCACCCCTCTCGGGAGCCCCCAGCTACTGTTCCTACAGACAGACCCCAGGCTCTCAGGGGCCCAGTGCCACCAGGAGTGGCATCATCCCCGCTCATGATGTTAGGTGAGGGTTGCCTGGGCGTGTGTGTGCATGTGGGAGAAAGGAGGGGCCTGGAATTCAGCACCCCCACTACCATTCCCAGCACTGACTTCTAGCTTCTACCAGCCTCAGTTTCTCCACCAGTAAGTGGGTCCCTGCCTGCCTTTGCTGACAGCAATGGGTGAACGTGTTTATAAACATACTCTGAAAATAGAATTGTCTTGTAGCACAGAACTAGGAATAAAATACCTCGAGCCCCCAGAATCTGCTGTGGCCGCAGCCCCACATAGAAGATGTGGACTCTGCGAGTATCCAACGCCAGTTCCTCTCTATTCCATTAAAACAACCACTTGCTCTTTCTTCTCAGACTCTCTCGAGTCTATTAGCTACTTCCTGGCGCTCTGACACAGGATTCCTGGTGATGCCAGTTCATCTCAGGACCCTGTGGCCTTGCCGGTAACTCTGGGCTGTGCGTCCCGCAATGACACAGCCCTGGACGCCACAAGGCGTCACTTCTCTGCCTGACTTTCCCGGCAGCCTCTTCCCTCCTGCAGGCCCTCAAGCTTGCTGGTCTCAGAACTGACTGCTTCTGATTGGAGAAGGTCTGGCAGCTATCTTTGGGCAGAGAGTATCATGAAAGAAAACTCACAATTTCTGATTTTTCTGTAATGAGCATGTTTCATTTTTCAATAAGAAAAAGAACCACAAAGAATTGCTACTGTCCCCATATGTCTGTCTTGATGCTACCCTGCACCACGACATATATGACTTGGGTGCCTAAGAGACGGTGACCCAGCATTCGTCTTTGCAGCAGGCCTGAGCTGGACTGGCACTCTGTAGGTGCCCAGGAGATGTTTGCTGATGGACCGGGGTTGGCTGTCTTCCAGAGCCAGGAGGCTGGCTAAGGGCTAGGGAGGGTGGTGTCCCCAAGGCTACTGGCCCCTGAGGAAGCATCCGGCCACGCTTGCCACCACGGGCTGAAACAAGCCGATTCTGAAGCCACTGGCCTTCTGGTCATTTCTGAACCTCCTACGTCACCTGGACCCCACGTCACCTGTTTCCATGGGGCTGCAGTGTCCATAAGCGCCAGGAGGCGCCCTCTGCCCACCAGCCCGGGCCAGTGCGTGAGGTCGGTCCTGGGCCTGGGATGGGCGGTGCTCGTCTCCTGGGCCTCCATCCGAGGTTCCAAACACACGCTGAGCAGCTCTGTCCGCCACTGGGCCCAATGGGCCCGCAGGAGCTGCCTGTGCCCAACCACCTCGATCTGGGCGATGGCGACCCGCTGGACACGACCCTGGGCGGCAGATTGGGCCCAGGCCTCTAGGACCCTGGGGGGAGAGGAGGAGCCCATACCCAAGGCCATCAGCGCCAGGCTTCATGGCAGCGGAGGGAGCCCTCCCAGCCCTGGCCAGTGCCTATGGTAGGGGACCTCCAGGCAAAGCCCCGAGCCCTGCCCCCCCCCCCCCCCCCCCCCCCCCGCTCTCCTGGAGCAAACAGGCTTAATTGGGCACAGAGAGCCGCAGAATATCGCACAACAGGGACAAGCACCCTGTTCAGAGGAAGGACAGTCCTGCCAGTTACGCTGCCCCCCCCCCCCCCAAGAACCCGGGTTACGGAGCACCTGCTGTGTAGTGTCTGGCCCTGAGCTGAATGTTTACACTCGTTATCTCTAATCTCTCCGCTGCCCCGCAGAACAGTTCTGTTATCTTTCTTTGACCTTTAAAGGGAGACTTGCCCAAGTAAGGGTCACACGCTGGGGAGTGCAGAGCTGGGCTTTGGCCCAGGATGAGCTGCCATGACCAGAATCGCCTCTCCCTGGCAGCCCCAGCCCCCCAAGCCCTGGCACCAGCCACCAGACACCCTTTCCCCTGCCCCAAACCAACTCCAGCCCCAGCTGGAAGCACAGCGAGGGGCTGCCCTCGGGCCCTGGGCATCCACCTGGCGCTCAGCTTCCGGGCAGCGCGGGCTCGGCTGAGCCGGTGTAGGCGGGACTCCTGCACCCACAGAGTCCAGCACAGGGCCAGCTGGGTCCTGGCCCGAGCTCTCCCTTCTGCCTGCTGGTGGGCCTCACAGCGCTGGCCCAGGGCCACTCGCCACGCCATAAAGGCCTGCTGGGCCCGGGCCCTCCTCAGCTGCCTGTCTGCCCGGCTCCCCTGCACATGGCTTCTCCAGAGAGCAATGGAGGCCCGGGCCACGTGATGCTCCCGCGCCCGGGCTGCGGCCACGCGGGCTTCCTGCCACGTGGCCAATGTGGCTCCCAGTGCCCGTCTTCTCAGGCCAGCCTGGACGGCTCGGCACCGGGCCCGGAGCATCCCTGCGTCTCTCGCAGACCCACACCAGGCCTGGAAATGGCTGCAAAACAGGAGCAGAGGAGGGCCCCGCTGCTGTCAGTGAGAAATCGCATTTATTCAAAATGGTACCCTTCCTCCCCTCCCCCCAAAGTCTTATAGGTTACACACGGTTTCATACACACCCTGTGCCTAAAAACGTACGGACCGACGTGTAACGGGGAAGGTGCCAGCTTTCATTTGGGGCCTAGGGGCGCACACACTCGGGGCGAGGAGGTGGGGGGGGGAGCGGGGAGATGCTACTCGGGAGCCCAGCAGCTGTGCTTCAAGTCCCAGATCCCCTGAGACAGCCGCCCCTGCCTCCCCTCACAAGCCCGCTCTGGGGCAGGGGGGCAGTGAGGGGACTCTGAGGGGCCTGCAACACGGGCACGGCCTTCAGATGCGAAAGCACAGGAGTCAGCCGCCCTGCAGCGGTGTTAGCTGGCTGTGGGGACGCTGGACAATGGTGAGTCTGTAACTGCACAGCGGGCATCGTCTGTGCCCTCTGCTCTCCGATGGCATTAATGAACTAAGTGCATGCATATTTTACTGGAGCATCTCTATTTAAGATGCCAGCCCCTCTGTTTGGCCCCTGTGTACAGCGTCCCCCTGTGCTGACCCCCCAAACACGTGGTGCGGGGACAATGATGATGGTGGGTGTCCGAGGAGCTCATCTCTCCATCTTAGTCGTAGCCTCTGACACCAAAGGACCGACCCAGCCAGGAGGGCGAGGGGATGTGGGATGAGGGGCCTGCCAGCCCCACCTCCGCACAAAGCAGGTAGTGAAGGCTGGTGGTCACGGCTCTACAGCTCAGGCTAGGGTCTCCCTTCACACCCCACCCCACCCCCAGTTTCCCAGGTCCCAGGCCTCCAGCGCGGACTCCCCTAGAGCTGCAGGGGCAACCCAGCCTCCCATCCCCATGGGCTCTCTCCCTGCTCTTCCCGGGGTGGGAATGACCCTCTGCCTCCCGCTGCCAGGCCCACCCACCTCTGCAGTGCAAGCCGCTCTGGCCTGGCCATCCTATGTCTCTGATGAGCTGCCGCCTGCCGCCAGCTCTGGAACGCAGCCTTGCGCAGGCCCTGCTGGCGTAGCTGCGCCCACCCCTGGTACCGGTCATGCAGGCACTGCTGCCCTGTGGCCAGAGAGAGGCTGAAGTGGCCCCAGGTGCTCACCCTGGCCTCACCCCTGGGCCCTGGGTGCTCACCCTGGCCTCACCCCTGGGCCTCGGGTGCTCACCCTGGCCTCACCCCTGGGCCCTGGGTGCTCACCCTGGCCTCACCCCTGGGCCCTGGGTGCTCACCCTGGCCTCACCCCTGGGCCCTGGGTGCTCACCCTGGCCTCACCCCTGGGCCCTGGGTGCTCATTCTGGCCTCACCCCTGGGCCCTGGGTGCTCACTCTGGCCTCACCCCCGGGCTCTGGGTGACTGTGGGCCCTGCTTAGCCAGCCCTCTGCCCTCTACCCAAGTGGGAGCAGAGGAGGCCACCCTCGCTGTCTGGGTTGAAAGGCTTTGGTCACAGGTGTGCTACTGCTGACCAAGCCAACCCAACTCAGGGAGTTGTTTCTTTTTAAAAAAATTTCTTGATGATGTTTAGGAATCCCGAGAATTTCATGAAAATCTAGATTTCCAGCTTTTCTTTAAAAAACAAGGTCTGGCAGCACTGGGCCCGCCTTCCTGGGCGACTGGACAATGGCGCTGGAGAAGCGACTGTCTCCTGTGGACAGCATGGAGCTTTTTTTAAAAAAAAATGTATTTTATTGATTTTTTACAGAAAGAAAGGGAGAGAGATAGAGAGTTAGAAACATCGATCAGCTGCCTCCTGCATACCTCCTATGGGGATGTGCCCGCAACCAAGGTACGTGCCCTTGACCGGAATCGAACTTGAGACCTTTCAGTCCGCAGGCTGACGCTCTATCCACTGAGCTAAACCGGTTAGGCCGCAGTGGTCGGCAAACTGCGGCTCGCGAGCCACATGCGGCTCTTTGGCCCCTTGAGTGTGGCTCTTCCTAAGCCTTAGGAGTACCCTAATTAAGTTAATAACAATGTACCTACCTGTATAGTTTAAGTTTGAAAAATTTGGCTCTCAAAAGAAATTTCAATCGTTGTACGGTTGATATTTGGCTCTGTTGACTAATGAGTTTGCCAACCACTGCGTTAGGGCATCTCTGAGTTTTCCAGAACAACCAAGTCCCCGCCGCCAGCCCATCGGTACGCGGTATCAGTGTAGGGGACACCTCTAAAACACCCCGAGTGACCCCCTCTCCTGTGCTGGGCTCTGAGGGGGCCGCGCCTCCTGAAAGCCAGGTGAGGATGACGAGGATGAAGATGAACAAGAGCCCTGCTAGGAGCTGGGTTCTGAGCCAAGCCCGTTGATGGGCTGTCTCACAGTATCCCCACAACCCCCCGTGCGGTGCTACTGCTGTTATCCCCATTTTACAGGTAAGTAAGCTGAGACTCGGCTTAAGTAGCTTGCTTGCAGTCCACAACTGCCAGGGAATGGAAGTGGGGACGTGAACCTGGGACCAGTGTCCACGCCCCCGGGTCCTGGGCATGCCCTGTGGGGTCCCACTGTTGGACTCTGTGCTGGAGGATACAGACCCCTCGGTCTTCCTGGTGGACCCTGGCCCTCCCTCCTTCACCCGTGGGGCCCGTCCCAGTCCCCCACTCACTCTGCCAGGAGGAGTGCCAGTGCTGCAGGGCGTCTCGCACCCGTCTCCGGCCCCGCTCCTGGGCCCACTGCTCTGCCTCCTGCCACTGCGCCAGCCGCCGCCGCCACAGGCCCAGCGCGTCCCTGCAGCTCCGGTCCCAGGCCCAGCGGACAGCCAGCTTCCTCTGGGCCCCTTGGGCCATTGACCAGTGGCTCCAGCCGAGAAGGATGCTGGGAAAGGAGTGTCCACCCTGAGGATGGTCACTACCACCGGGGGCCAGCCCAGCCCACTCTTCCCGCAGCCGCAGGGAGGGGCTTGAGGTGACTCTTCTCCCAGTTCCCATCTTGGGGGAGAGTCGTTGCTGGGGGCTGGAGGACTGCTCCTGCGAGGGTCACAATGACAGGTGATGGGGATAAGAGGGGACCCCAGACCTCCAATGCCAGGTCTGTATCAACCTCTAGTGCTAAACCTCGCTAGGAATGGAGTGCTTGCTCTGTGCCAGGCACTGTGCTAGGGGAGGCATGTGTCCTACCTCATTGATCCCCATTGAAGTGAGAACTATTATTACCTCCTACAAATGGGGAGATGGAGGCACAGAGAGGTTAAGCAAATTGCCCAAGATCACACAGCCAGTGAGGGGCAAAGCTGGGATTAGAATCCAGGCAGACAAACTGTGAAGCACTGGGCTATAATGAATGAGTGAATGAATGAATGAATGAATGAGCCACAGCTGTGAAATCTCTGCAATCATAGCCCTGACGAGTGCCCCACCCCCCGTCCCAACTCCGCATACACCTCTCAGCAGGGCAGGCAGGGAAGGAGGGCAGGAGGAGTTGAGAGGATCTGAGACTGGGGCATGCGAGGGGTGCCCTCTGGGATGAAGACCCCAAGGGGGGGCTGCTGTGAAGGCCAAGGACTGAGGGGGAAGAGGCCTTGGCTCACCATCCTGGGGCAGGGTCCCTACCGCCTCTGAAGGGTGTGCTGGTGCCACCTTGCTGCACGCCGGGACTGCTGAGCCCGCGCCTGCCAGAGCAGGAGGCACCGCGCCTGCTGCTGCCGCCCAGCTGCCCACAGAAAGCTCAGCCGAAGCGTCTCCAGGAGGGCGGAGGCCCTGGATGCCTGGGGAAGGGGGTGTGGACTCCTGGGTGCCCGGCCCCTGCCCATCCCCACCCTCTCCTCCCGCGTGCCCCCCACTCACCCTGGCTCAGCCCAGCCCCTGCCGCTCACCTTCTCCAGTGGGCTTGGGCCTGTGCTGCCCAGCAGTTCTGAGGCCGAGGTGGTCCTGGCACTGCCTGACGGGTTGCCTGGTCCCCACACCCTCAAGTGCCACGCCCTCAGGATGCACCTTAGCAGCCGCCGCTGCACGCCCTGGGAGAAGGAGCTATAGGAAGGGGCAGATGAGCTCCCCGGCCCCAGCCTCACCCCCTGGCTGGAGTGACTGCTAAGCAGGGGCTACCCCAGCCGGGCCCCTGGAAAGAGCCAAGCTGGAAGGTGCTGCTACGTGCCAAACACCTGGCCAGAGCTCTGCACCCCGCCTCCCAAACCAGCCCACACTGGACCACTGGGCCCTAAGAAACAGGACGCCCGGGGTCCCACCCCCGGAGATCCTGGTCCAGTGGCCTGGGCGCCGCCCGGGCTAAGTTCCCAGGTGCCTCTGCTGAGCCCCACCTGTGCTGGTCACCTGGCTGACAGTGACATGCTCCCGGGTGGGTGAGGGATGGGACTGGGCCCAGGTCCAGGGACCCCAGCCTCAAGCGGCCACAGGCCTAACCGCACTAGTACTCCTACTTCCACTCAGTAATGAAGATAGGGACGCGGAGGCCTGGGGAAGGCATTTCCTCAAGCCCCAAATAGCAGCAGACCTTGGACCCGAACACTCATCTCGGGCCACGGGCAGCAAAGGGGTGCCACAGGGAGAGGCCGGCCATATCCTGATGCGGAGGCACAGGATGGGCTGGGCGTAGAAGGGCTACATGCTGAAGGGTTGTGGTGAACTGAGATTCCCTGGAGTTCCAGGGGTGCATTAAAAGAGATTGAGGGTCCAAGTGGACCAAATAGGTGTGGGACTGATGGATGCCAGGTGCATGGCTTTCAAGGGCAGAATTCTTTTTTAAAAAAATATATTTTATTTATTTTTTACAGAGAGGAAGGTGAGAGGGATAGGGAGTTAGAAACATCGATCAGCTGCATCCTGCACACCCCACCCCCCTGCACTGGGGATGTGCCCGCAACCAAGGTACGTGCCCTTGACCGGAATCGAACCCGGGACCCTTCAGTCCGCAGGCCGACGCTCTATCCACAGCCAAACCAGCTAGGAAGGGCAGAATTCTTAACCCTGCAATGGCTGGCTTACATACACCTGATGTCCTGGGAGGGAGGCTGGCTCCTCCCCTCCCCTCACACAAAACCATCAATCAGCCTGGGCTCTGAATCCACCTTCTTGCTCCTGGTTCACAGTGTGACTTAAAGCAATTGCTTGGCCCTCTGAGCTTCCGTTTCCCTAGCCTAGCAGTATAGTGAGGCACACTGGGGAAGGGGGTGTGTGCGAGAGATCTTTCACGTATTCATTTACAGTATTTATCCTGTGCCTGCTGCAGGCTGGGCCCCTGCACGGTGGGGAGACAGAGGCGAAGAGACAGATATAGTTCCCGCCCCAGGAGGCTCCCACTGAGCTGGGAGCTGGGGGAGAGGCGATTCTAGAAGCTGGAGAGGGAGAGGAGCTTTAGACCAACTTCCCCATCAGGTTCCAGCCACCTGGGTAGGACTCGGTGTCTGTCCCCACAGCTCTCTGCTCAGGCACTATCTCGGTGTCCCTGGGCTACCTCCCCTGCCCCCACACCTGCTGGGTACCACGTGTGCCAGGCCCCCTGCTGGAGCCACTCGGGGGAGCACCGCTCATGGGCCCACCCGGCCCCAGGCCCACGCCCAAGCCACAAGCCTGTGGACACCTACTCAGCCCGCTGGCGCTGGGAGAGCCTCGCCCTCCAGAGCAGTAGCACCCCGTGGAGGGCTCGTCTTGGGCAGGCTTTCTGCGGGGAGCCCTGGCCTCGCTCCTGGGGCAGCCCCTGGGCCTGGGCCACCCACCTCAGGCCTCCAGGGGCTGAGCTGCCCAGGTCCATGTTCCCTGAGAAGCAGTTAAGAGACACATCAGCCATGTCCCCCGTGACCTCCCTCTGCCCAAAGTCATTAATGGCTGCTGCCTCAGGCCCTCCCCTAAGACCTCTCCCCACTCATAGGGCACTTCACCCTCCCACACCCCAAACCCTCCCCCCTCCAGGCACCTCAAAGATCCCATCTGTCCTGGCCAGGCTTTGGTGGGGACAGAGGCTGTGCCCTCCACTCACCACAGGTGCTTCCCGGGAGCAGGGGCCACATCCCTTCCTGGTGGAAGATAAATAAAGTCTCTGGCTTAGAAGAGCTCATGATGGGAACAAGGTCCCGCTAGGGCGCACCCACTCCCGGGACCCCTCCTGGACCCTCCCAGGCCCACCAGGCTGCACCCTGAGGAAGGTCCCAATTCCCTCACCTCCCATTTCAACAATCCACAATTCACTTCGGCCCCCTGCAGCAGGACCGTAAGAGACTGGGGTGGAGGGAGGAGGAGCCCTCGGTCTCCTTGCTCACCCACCTTCTGCCGGCAGAGGGACAGCTGGGTCACCTTCGCCCCATCCGATGCCCGGAGCTGCTTCATCCACACCCACTGTTTCAGGCATGTCCTCGGGGTTCCCATCTGGCGGTCAGCCAGGTGCTCCCGGAGCTGGGCCCCTCTTTTCACCGACCGCCGCCAGGCCCCAAAGCACCTGGGAGAGCCGAGAGGAAGTGCAGGTGCTGGTTGTAAAGGCCACAGCTACAGCCTCTGTCAAGCACCAGACTCACTACTTCCCCTCTCGGGGCCTCAGCTCTCTCATCTGTAAAATGGGGCTGCAGGAAGGACTTGACACCATCACCTCCACGTGCCTGGGTGGCCTCCACAGCCTCCTACCTGGCTGCCCTCATCCACTCTTGGCCCCTCCAGTCAGTTCCTACTCAGTAACCGAGTGATTTTTTAAAACAAATCTTCAAATCAGATCATTTTATTCCCCTGCTGAAATCCTCCAGTGGCAGCCCCTTGCTTGTATGATAAAATGTCAGCCCCTCCCCAAGCCTGCAAGATTCCCCACACCTTTCCAACTTCATCTCAAACCATCCCCGGCGCGCGCCCCCCCCCCCCTCCCCCCGCACTAACAGGGCTGCAACTTGTCTGCTGTTCTTGGAGTTTTCTGTGATTTGCTGTCATAGGCCTTTGCACATGCTGTTCCCTCTGCCTGGCGCTCTCACCGGCTCTCCCTCCGCTAGCCAACCATTCATCCTTCGCACCTCCGCTCAACCCTGGCCGCGGTCGGCACCCTCAGTTTAAATGTTCTCACAGGAAAAACTCTCAGCAAAATGCAGGCAGCGGGCAGCTATCGGGTTTCTTCAGCAGGCAAATTGCAAGGAAAAAGAGTTCAGGGGGCCCACAGCTCACAAAGACTTGAATGACAATCTCGACCAATTCCAGCATGTGGACCTAATTTAGATCCCGATTCAAACAAACTGGAACAAGATGGATGCTTGTAAGACAACTGGAGATCCGAATGCTGAGCAGATCCTTGCTGGGATTAAGGAATTACTGTTCGTTTTCCAGGTGTGAGCATGGCATGTGGTCAGGTTGTGTACAAGAGTCCTTATTTTTCAGAGATGCTACGGAAATAGCTATGGGTGGATGGTGTGAGGCTTGGGGTTTGCGTCACGGTAACGTAGAGGGGGAGTAGTCGGAGTGCATCCGAAAGGAGCTTTCTCGGGAGGTGACTTCCTCGAAGCTGGGCGATATACAGGCGTGTTATCCCCTTTTCTTTAGTTTTGTGTAAGACAAAATGTTCCGTAATTTAAACGTTAACAACAGGGAAGAAAACTCATAGATCCGTGTTTCTTCCCTTCACAGCACTACACTCAGGGGGTGTTCGCACCGCCCCCCTTGTGACCGCTAATTTCCTGTCTGTCCCCCACCTGGCCAGGGGTTCCACGTGGGACAGGTGACGACGCACTCAGCTTTACTTGTAACTAACCCCCAGCTCCTGGGTGGTTTCTAGCAGGTCTCAGACTCTCCGTAAACTGCAGCTGTTTTCATTTCTCTTTCATCTTTGTCTCTCAAGACAAGGAGGAGTCAACGTCTGCCTCAGGGAAGGCGGTCCCCCTCCCACCGCTCCCCCTTCTGCCTACCTGCGGAGCCAGGCTCTCTGATGCTGGGGGCCCCAGGGGGGCACCCAGGCTGTATCTGCGGCAGGAGAGCACCAGGCCTGGGGGCTCCTCCCCATGCTCTGAGTCCTCAGCATGGCCCCGGAGGCCTCTCCCTGGACCCCCTTCTCCTGCCTGGCCCATTCCTCCTGCTGGCACTGCAGGAGGAAGACTGTAAAGGGAGGGGTGAGAGAGGAAGTGAGCAGAGGGGAGGATCAGGGCCAGGAGGGCCACTGACACCTGGGACACCTCCTCATCTCTGGGCTTGTTTCCCTGTGAGCGAATGATGTCTAAGCGACTTTCCAGGTCTAACACTCAAGCTTCTGCTGGGCCTGTGCCAGCGTCAGTGGCACACCAATATCACTGTGTGTCTGCAAGCTAGTCCCTTAATTACTCTGTGCCTCAGTCTTCCCATCAGTGAAATGGGCGCAACACCTTGCCGAGGTCACCGTGAGGCTCAAATGAGATGGTGTCTGGGAAGTTGCCATCGTAGGTGCTCAATGAACACTCATCCACTCAGGACCCCCTGCCCTCCCCTGCCCTGTGTGGGGACTCAGCCCTGCCCAGCTCCGTCTGCCCCGCTTTCCCAGGGCCCCACATCTCACCAGACAGCTGTTGCAGGGCCTGCAGGATATGGACCCTCCCGTCTCCTCCATCTGGTCTCGGCCCAGAACGTGATGGAATTGGCCAGGCTCCTGCCTCCTCCCTCAGGCTCCCTGGGCTGAGAGTGAAGTTGCCCAGAGAGAAACTGATGCCCAGGGCCCAGGGAAGGCACACATCCAACTGTCCACCCCAGCCCGGGGTGGATCCTGCCCGCCCACAGGAGCACGGGACGCTGAGCCACCTGCTGTTCTCTTCCAGGCAGTGCACTCATCCCTGATCACACAAGGGATCTGGGGAGGGGGTTCTGCTTTTGCTTCACTCTCTTCAATACTATTTGGATTTTTCACAACAAACATGTATTCAATGGATATTATTTAAATTATTTTAAACCCATTTTTAAAATTAAAAATAAGAACAAAAACAATACATCAGAGTAGTGGAAAATTGAGGAAATGAAGAAAAAAATAGCCAACTTAATCCCTCTGTTGCAGAAATAAGCACTATTTGCATTTTATTTTTTTGGAGGTTGGAGTCACCATCTTAATCATTTTTTTGTTGTTGTTAATCCTCACCCAAGGATATTTTTCCATTGATTTTTAGAGAGTGGAAGGGAGGGGGAGAGACAAAGAGAGAGAAACATCGAAGTGAGAGAGACATGTCAATTGGTTGCCACCCCACACGTGCTCTGAGGGGCCGCGGAGGAGCCTGCAACCAAGGTAGGTACCCTTGACCGGAATTGAAGCCGGGACCCTTCAGTCCCAGGACCCTTCAGACCCTAGCCATTGAGCCAAATCGGCTAGGGCCATCTTAACCATTTTTTTTTTTTTTACATATTTTTAAAAATATATATATTTTATTGATTTTTTACAGAGAGGAAGAGAGAGGGGTAGAGAGTTAGAAACATCAATCAGCTGCCTCCTGCACACCTCCTACTGGGGATGTGCCCGCAACCAAGGTACATGCCCTTGACCGGAATCAAACCTGGGGCCGAAACCGGTTTGGCTCAGTGGATAGAGCGTCGGCCTGCGGACTGAAGGGTGCTAGGTTCGATTCCGGTCAAGGGCATGTGCCTGGGTTGCGGGCACATCCCCAGTGGGAGATGTGCAGGGGGCGGCTGATTGATGTTTCTCTCTCATCGAGGTTTCTAACTCTCTATCTCTCTCCCTTCCTCTCTGTAAAAATCAATAAAATATATTTAAAAACAAACAAACAAACAAAAAAAAAACCTGGGACCTTTCAGTCCGCAGGCTGATACTCTATCCACTGAGCCAAAGCGATTAGGGCCATCTTAACCATTTTTAAGTGGACAGTTCAGTAGTGTTAAGTCCATTCGCATTATTGTGCAACATTTTAGTTTTTTTCCTTCTGGTCTTTTTTTATGCACTGTTTTAGGTGCACAGAAAAATATCTTAGATACTATTTATTCCTTTTTCTTGTTCATTTAACATTGTCATAACCATTGTTCCTTGTCATCAAAAATTCTACACACATGTCCATAAAAATACTTCCGGGAATGGGGACCCATGGGGAGGGGGATGAAATTTCTAACTATATTGAATGTGTTTTCAAATCAAGCATGCATGACTGTCATGATCAGAAATAAAAATTAAAAGTATTGAAAAGAAAAATAAAGGAAAAGAGAGTGGGGAGAAAAATTTTAAATCTTCATAAATACCATGCAGAATGGTTGCCAAATAGTCATCACGTAGTTAAATGGGAATTTTCTCACTCACTGGGCATTGAGACTGTGTCAACGCTTTTACAAGGATAAATAATGCTGTGATGGACCTCTTTCTGCACAAATCTGTGTCCACGTCTGCTGGTTGCATCCTCCTTCTCTTGTTGGGGAGAGGGATGGGGACGAGGAGGGAGGCTGCCAGCTCTGCCCAGCCACACTGACCAACCCGGGGTGTCCCCACCTACCTGCTTCTCTGGGCGGGGTCCACCCCTGGCTTCCTTCCTGAGGGACCTGGGGGCTGGCCTCCCCCAGAGGGTGGGGGTCCTGGGCCAGCCTGGAAGTGGGGCTGCCCTTGTTTCTGCTGCTGAGCCCGGTGTCTCCACTGGATCAGGAGAGAAGGGAAGAGGGACGTTGGCTGCAGCCTCCAATGTGCCCTGAGAGGGAGCACCAGGGAGGCGCAGGGACAGGGGCCAAATACTTCTATCAGACTCCAAAGCCTATGGTCTCAACCACTAGACAACCCTGCCTCCTTGGAAATGCATGAGTGAATGGAGAGAGGGCGCCCCAGAGGCAGGGCTCTCCTTGGGAGACCGAACTTGGAGCTGGGTCCTCCCAGAGCACCCCCTTCCCAAGGAGGGAAGAGCACAGTCCTGGCCTGCAAACCCCTCGTGGAAAACAGCAGCTCTTACAGTACGTGGCAGAGTGCGAGCTAGGTGCTAGGCAAGTGCTGAGTCCCTTTATTCATTTAACTTCACCACAACCTTGAGGGAGTATGTTCAATTATCATCCCATTTTAGAGATACAAGACGAAGGCACAGAGAGGTTAGGTAACTTGCCCACAGTCGCACAGCCAGAAAGTGTGAAAGAAGGACAGCAGCGGAGGCCGGATATGAGCTGAGGCAGAGCTGGTTCAGGTGTCGGCGCGCTCTCCTGGGGGTCACTCAGAAGGTAGAACCCGAGCCCCAGAGGAACCTCCTCCTGAGCACACCAGCATTTCATCCCCTCCCCTCCACCCAACCTGGAGGTCCCTGACCTTTTGGAAGCTCTGGGCCAGAAGGGCCCTCCTCTGTCCACCGCACGCCACCTCCAGGTGGGCCTCCCGGAGCCGCAGACCCCTGCGCAGCAGCCGCCGGTGGCCCAGGGCCGCTGCCTGCCGCCTCCACACCAGGTGCTGCCACGCCCTGAAACATCTGGACAGCAGCTGCCGGCTGGGGATGGACGGGGCTGGTCAGGGGGTGGGCCTGCTCCTCAGCCCAGGGCGCAGCAGAAAGGGCTTCCCTCTATTGATGGCTTGGAAATCTCAGGTGAGAAAGCCATGGAGGCGGGAGAATGCCCAGCAGCCACAAGTTCCAGGAGCTGCTGTCCGTCCCTTCCCTGGGGGCCCGGAGGACCCTGTCATCCCCAGCAGGGACAGCGTGGAAGTCTCTCCCCCTCAAGTCCCATGTGGCTCTGCCATCAGGGCCAATCTCTATGAGGCAAAAGGGAGAGGAGCTGTCCCAGCCCCAGCTGTGGCCTCACCGGGCCCTCTCGGACTCCAGGTTCACAAGATTTCCGGCTTTGTTCTTGGAAAACAAAAGGACAAGACTGCCCTCAGGCCCGCAGCCAGCAGGACGGACACCCCTGCCCAGCCTGCCCCACGGCCTCCCTTTCTGACGAACCTGGCTGCTTGGAGTGAGAATTCCTGGGGGAGGCAGCAGCCCTCTGGAGCGCCCTCCCCCCCCCCAAATCCTGCTCCCAGACTCCTCTGGCCGCTACCTGCAGGGCACTAGTGGCTGGGCCAAGGCCTGCAGAAAGGAAGTGGCCTCTCTTCCTCCACCCTCCCACCTGCTCCCTTGGGACCTTCTCCCCTCCTTCCTGCCCAGGGAGGGCACCCCAGGCTGCCCAGAGAACGTGGGGGAGCACAGTCTGGCCTCTCTGCTGCCCACCTCTTGAGGGAGCAGGGGGCCTCCGGTCTGCCCCCTGCTGCATGTAGGCCTCTTTCCTCGCCTCAGGGGGTAAGCAGGAAGGACCCCCTGCACGGGGTCAGGGAAGCCCCCAGTCAGCACCCCCAAAGCGGTCTGCGGTGGCGACGCGCGCTTGCTGCTCGCCTGGACCCCCGGTGTCTCTGGGAGACTCACGGCTCCCCTGAGACCTCGGGGGTGTTTCTTTCTCTGACGGCAGAACATGAGAACAGGCTCGGTGCACTGGGGGCCAGCAGGGAGGGCCTGGCCACCGCTGGTCCAGGGCTCCTGCGGCGAAGGGCCTGGGGGTTCCTGGGCCCCCCAGCACCTGAGGCGGGCTGCCTCCTGCTCCAGGTGCTGCCCGGAGGCCGGCAGCCGGGAGGTGGCAGCCTGGGGTGGGGCCCGAGCCGGGCTCTTGACGGGGACAGCCAGGTCGTCCAGGGTGAGGGGTTCCCCCATGAGCCTGGAGGGCCAGTCCCCCAGGCCACCCCAGGATCTGGAGCCTGGCTCTGTGTGCCCATCAGTGGGGGCATAGCGCAGGGTGGGCCTGGAGCGTGGGCAGGGCGTGTCTGTGGCCAGAAGCCAGGACGGCTTCAGGGTGGGGGATGGTTGAGCCTGTGGCCCTGGGGGTTGGGGGCTTCTCCGGGGCACCCCGTGAGGCCAGAAGCCTTCCTGAGGCTCCGACCAGGGGTGGGGGCTGCTGCGGCTTCCACACCCCGCCAGGCCGGCCTCCCGTGCGCTCAGGTTACTCTGCTGGACGGTGAACGCTCGCGCCCCCCGCAGCGGGAGGACTCCCAGGGGCTGTAGGTTGCTCTGCTGCTGGAATCTGGAGTTGATCAGCCGGCCGGTCGTGTCCTTCAGGGCAAGGCCCAGGCGGGGCCTAGGGCTGGCCAGGTTGGTCTGGACTTGGCAGGGCTCCTGGCGAAGGGCTGCCCTTGGCGAGGGAGTGGTGGCCGGCTCTCCTCTCTCGGCCTGGCCCCTGGGCACCCACGGGCCCTGTCCACTACCCAGGACGACACCCAGGCTCTTTGGGAGTCTCCGTTGCTCTAAAGGGAGTAGAGACAGTCATGCCCTGAGTGGGGATCTCGTGTTCAGTTCAGGTGGGACAGGTGGGGCCGGTCAGGCCTCAGAGCCGGAGGGACAGGGTCCCAGGCCGGAGAGAGCCTGGACGGCAGGGGTCTGTGTCAGCTCTGCAGACAATGGGCAGTGTCTGGGGGTCCTGAGCAAGAACAGTGACATGATCTGACTGTGCCTGGCTGCTTGGATCAGGGACGGGGTAGGGTCAGAGGCGAGGAGGGCAGAGGGAGTCTGGGGGACAGGAGGCTGTTGAGGGGGAGACAACCAGGTCTGGGGTGGCAGGGAAGGTGGAGAGAAGACAGATTCAGATCCGCTGTGGAGGCTTAGAGGGGCGAAGCAAAGGGGGGCGTGAAGGACCAATCCCTGATTTCCAGCTTGAGCAAAGAAGTGATGCGGGGGTGGGGGGGACCGGGGGTTGGCGGGGGAGGGGGGGGGGGAGATAGACAGCAGCTGAGGATGACAGTAAGACCCAGCATATCAAACGGCTGAAAGCTGCTCTGGGGGTCCTGGGGTGGGGCTTAGAGCCCTCCTTCCCATTGCCCCCAGCCCTCACAGCCATCCCACGGAGCTGGGGCGATGCCTGGGAAGGCAGGCAAGTAGATTGTGGGCCATCAAAGTTTGTAGACAGGAACCTCAGAGAGGTTAAGCAACTTGCTCACAGCCACACAGCTGGAACAGAGACCCTGGCACGTGAACCAGAATCTGACTTTGTCCTTGGGCTGCTTCTACCCTTGGCTGCAGCTGCTCTGGCCTTCAGAAAGCCCCAGGCACCTGAACTCAGGTTCCCCAGCCCACCACCCCTGGCACCCACCTACCACCCACCTACCTGGGGGAGCCCCTTCTCAGCCAGGGCCCAGCCAGGCCTGCTCCTGGTCCACCCTCCCCCTGACTTCCCGACCCTCCCTTGGGCTCCAGGCTGGGAAGCCTGTGTCCTGGCCCAGCTGGCCCGATGCAGCTAATCTCTGGAATTGTGGAGGCTCTGGGCTGGCCTGTCTGGGAAAGGAGCTCTGGGCCACGACCTAGAGGGGACCCCGTTCCTGCCACCTCCCAACCCAGACCCACCAAGCCTCTTGCCTGGCCTCAGGGGGGTCGCAGGCCGGGGGGACACATTCTCCTTCTGGCTGGCGTCGGGTCTCAGCTCCATGGGCTCAGGGCCAAGCCAGGTGGCAGCAGTGTCGCTGCTCCACACCACAGCCAGCAGCCTAGCTGACCAGACGAGATCTGTGGGAGGAGGACGGGGTGCCCTGGCTCCCACCAGGCCACACCCCAGCCCTGGCCCACAGCCCACCCTTCACTGGCACCCCTGGCTGCCCTCTGGCCCAGCCCCAGCTGTCCGGGTCAGGCCCCTATGGGGTCTCCTCATCCTGCCTCCAGGCCACCCCCTTTCCATCTCATTTTCTCTTGTCCTCCAGAGTCCCTGCCCAGCCCCAAGAGGGGGCGAGGCTCTCTTTGTTTCCTGTCCCCACTCCCCCATGTCCTCCCTCCCTCCTCCCTAACACCCTGGTTCCGAGCCCCAGGTGCTCCATGCAGGAAGTCACCCCTCAGTCCACGAAGATTTCAGCTGCCAGCTCACTGAGACTTTCTTTCCTTTTTTGTGTTTTTTAATGTATTTTTATTGATTTCAGAGAAGAGGGGAGAGGGAGAGAGAATCATCGATCGGCTGCCTCCTCCATTCCCCCTACTGGGGATCGAGCCCGCAACCCGGGCATGTGTCCTGACCAGGAATCAAACTGTGACCTCCTGGTTCATAGGATGATGCTCAACCACTGAGCCACGCCGGCCGGGCTCACTGACACTTTCTTCACATACCTGTCTAAGTTCTCAGTGAGCTCACCATCCCCATGGACTACCCCCCCGACTCCTGGCCTGTGGGGTCCTTGACCTTCTCCCCTCCCACCATCTTGCCCTTCACCCCACCTCAGCCACCAGCTCCATGATCACCCCAGGTTTTGTCATCCTAAATACCTGCACTCCTCTGTAATTTTCGTTCCAGAGCCCCCCATCTTTCCAGCCCATTCCTGGAGTGCCCTGATCCCAACAGTCTTTCCCTCCAGGGACGCCCTCCCCGCCGCCACCCCATCACCCTTGGTCTCTTTTTGCTCACTGATGTCTCTCTCCCCTCCTGCGCTTTAACCAGCCAGGCTTACAGTCATCCCTTCTGCACGCCCTCAGCTCCTCTCCGGCCACATTCACTCAGTGAAGTCACAGGGCTGGAGAGAGTGGCTGAAAACACCCGCGAGGCTGCGCCGTGGCCTCCTTCCAAAATTACACCCTCCTCCCCTCCTCCCCACCCTCTTAGACACTAACTAAAACTCCCCCCCAACCCCCACCCCCGTCCTCAGACCTCTGCCCCCTCTTCTCCCCACACCCCCTTCAGCGGACCTATTGCCCCCACCAAACACGGCCATCAGAAGAGACATGCCACCAGCTCCTCCACCAGCTCCATGTCCACTGCCTCTCCTGCCCCTCCACCATCCTGTGGTCCCAACCCCAGCCAGACCCTCCCCCAAGCTCTGGGTACCATTCTGTCTCCCCGGCCCAAGGGCAGCTCCCAGGGCCATCACCAGCCTCAAAGATGCCATTCTCTGAACCAGGAAAAGGAACCACACTGCCCAACCCTCACAGCTGACTCAGCCACACACCAGGGCACCGAGCCTGGGGGACAGGACACAGGTCCCCTCCCCCATCATTTACACTTCCCCCTTCTTCACTGACTCACTCCCATCAGCACTTAAACCACAAACAAAAACACCAAAAACCCTCCCTCTCCAGCCTCCAGGCCCCAGACCACTTCCCTCTCCTCATCACACCCAAATCCTAATCCCTCTCACCCGCCTCTGACCTCCCTGCGATCAGCCACCCCCACCCCGAAGCTGCTTTCTTCCGGGTGACCTCCGAGATGCAGGTCCCTGGCCAGCTCTCAGCAGGACAGTCGTCACTGTCCTCCTTAGAGCCCTCCAGGACGCCACCTCTCGGCTTCTGTCCCTCCTGCTGGTTCCCCTTCTCTGAGCTCTTAGGATTGGAGGTGTCACAGCCTCCTTCCTCCCCTGACGCATGCACCCCAAGTGACCTCAGCTCCAGACAGTTCTAAGGCAGACTCCCATCCCCCCTTCTCCCAGAAGGGCAGCTTAGCCCCCTGCTGACTCAGAGGAGATCCCGGAGCCACCCTGACCGCTCCTTCCCCGTCCCATCACCTGCAATCCATTAGCTAATCGCATCTGCTCTACCTTCCAAAGACACCCGGAACCCAGCCCCTGCTCACCACGTCCAGCCCCACCTGCCCAGGTCCAGGGCCATTGCCTCTTGCGTCCTGACTGGTCTCCCACTCTGCCCTCGCCCCACACTTGCGGACTACTCCCCACTGAGGCCAGAGCGATCCTGAGAACTTAGATCAGAGCATGTCCTGACTCAACTCAAACAGCCCCAAGGGCTCCCCAGCCCACTCCGTCCTCACTGAAGGCTTCAAGGCCCTACATGCGGAGCCTCTTTGCCATGGAAACACTGTTGGCACACAGCCAGCCTATTGGCTGACGGCTTGTCTCTGGCCACTTTCTCACTGCATGGCAGAGTAACTTCAAAGGATGCCCCGTGGCCCACAAAGCCTAAAACATTTGCTTTCTGGCTTTTAAGGACATTTGCATAAGAAGGGAGGGGTTTGGGAAACGGGTGAAAGGGGAATATAGTCAATAATATTGTGGCAAGTTTATATGGTGACAGATGGCTAACAGAATTAATGGCGTGATCACCACTGGCTGGTATAAAAATGTCAAATCACTATATTGTACATCCAAACCCCCTGCCCCACATACCTGGCCCTCAGTTACCTTACCAGCCTCATCCCTACTCCTCTTCCCTGGCTCTCCCTGCTCCAAACACCCCAGCCTCCTGGTTGTCCCTCCAAAATGCCCTGCCTGTTCTAACCTCAGGGCCTTTGCACTTGCTGTTCCCTCAGCCTGGAACTCTCTTTCCCTCTCTCTCCTTCACGTTCTGCCTCAAATATCACAGTGAGCTCCTCTTCCCTGACCACTGTCCCTCCAACCACAGCAGCTCCTCGTTCCCTCCTCTCTCTACCCCATGATTTAGCACCACCCAACAGATTGAAGAAATCAGCGTTTGCTTTTCTCCCTCCAGTGGACTATGAGCCACTGTCTCTTTTTTCCATGCTGTATCCACAGCATGTGGAATAGTCCCTGGCACACAGTAGGGGCTCACATCACTTACTCTGCACCGCAGCCCAAGGACTTAGGTCCTTCTCTTTTCAGAAGAGGAAGCTGGAGCTTAAAGGGGCTACCTGTCCCGCCAAGGCCAGTGGCTGCAGGGGGGCCACCTGGGCCGGGCTTCCTCAGCAGGACAACCCCGCTCCCCACCTCTTTCCAAAGGATACTTGAGACAGCTCAGTCCACATATCCCTTTTTACCCCTCTCCCCCCCAACTCACCCCACGCCTGGGCTCCCTATCTGCTCCTAACGCCCTTACCTGTCCAGCTAAGGACAGCAGGTAGACAGCTCAGTCCACATAGCCCTTTCTATCGCTCCCCGCCCCCCACCCCTCCTCTTCCCACCAAAAGAACCTCGGTCAGTTTTCCTGTCCTGAACTTGCCCTCCAGTGCATATAATTTACAATTATATGATTATGACATATACATATCTGTCTTCCTCGGGCCCTCTCTCACCCAGTTGGGTTTGAACCTAGAGGGGACCTCGGCCGGCCCAGTACGGCTAACGATCCAACTCTGTAGGGGCGGGGCAACGTCAGAGAGCAGAGAGCGTGCACGCCCCGCGGCTGCCTCGTGCCGCCTGGAGGGTGCTCGGGGGGTCGGTTGTCCCAAGTGCTGAGCGTGGCCGCCGTTGTCTGCGCATGCGTGGGCCCGAGGGCGTGGCCAGGGGTCCTCCGCCCCGAGGGTTCTGCCCCCTGCACCCTCGCTGAGCATCGAGCCACAAAGCACGTGACCTCGTGCAAACTTCTTGCGCGCAAGACCTGCAAGCCTGCTGGCCCTCGGGTCCCTCCGAAACTGGCTGGAACCTGCCCTATCCACACCGCCCGCCAGGCCCTCCACGGTCAAGCCCTTGTCCCTGCGGTTCCCCACGCCACCCTGCCCTGTCCTTTCCTTCCTCCGTCTAGAGCAGCGGTTCTCAACTTGTGGGTTGCGACCCCTTTGGGGGTCCAACGACCCTTTCACAGGAGTCGCCTAAGACCATCGTAAAACACATATAATTACATATTGTTTTGTGATTACAAACTATGCTTTATGTTTAATTTGTAACAATGAAAATACATCCTGCATATCAGATATTTACATTATGATTCATAACAGTAGCAACATTACAGTGATGAAGGAGCAACGAAAATAACTTTGTTTGGGGTCACCACAACATGAGGAACTGTATTAAAGGGTCGCGGCATTAGGAAGGTTGAGAACCACTGCTCTAGGTGGTGCTGTTTCTCCTTTCTAAACACGCGCTGGACGAGGAAGGAGCACTGGGCCAGGAGCCCGAAGACCCGGTCAAGATGGGTTCTGAGGCTGTGTGACCGCAGGTAAGTCCCTCACTTTTCTGAACCTCAGGACCCTTATCTGTAAAAGGGGAGTGTTGACACCCACTCTGCTACCCTTTGGCTTGACCAGAGTCAGATGTTTAACAAACGCCAGCCAGCCTTTCAGACTCTAAAGCAGATCTTGAAGGGGTGTGTGTGTGTTTACTTCCTTCATAAGTCTATGCATCTAATAACTCCTCGTAAACACTGGCTTGAGCCTTTTGGTATTCAGGTCTTGTTCTTCCTATGTCTCCAGTAAAACTTTTGCCTTAAAGTCAAATTGTTCTGATACTAATTCAGCTACACCAGCTCTATTGGGGTTACTTGCCTGGTTTAATGTTTGCATCCTTTTACTTTCAGCCTTGCTGTGTCCATATATTTTAGGTGGGTCTCTTATGACACAATATGGCTAGATTTAAAAAAAAACCACACATTTACAATGATATGATTATGACATATACAAACCATCTCATTTTTGTGCCTGTTAATGATCAAACTTCATGTTTTTCTTTCTTCTTTCTTGTCTTTTTTTCTTGTTTCCCCCTCCCCTTACAAATGTCTTGCAACTTACACATCCTATTTCTATTCTTTCAGTGGTTATCCAACACATTTTAATTTGTATATTTAATTTGACAAAGTCTAAAGTTAATCCATT